TATCACCATTGTTTTAATGAGAACAGGAGTAGGTCATGCAGCCCCTGTCCCACCGTGCAATCAAATCCATCTATCTACTTTTAATACTTCTGCTTTGATACCCTTAGCTAAGAAATACTTATCAGTTTCAGATTCAGATTTCACTGGACCTGGAATTCACTATCAGTTGCAAAAGAGTTTGCAGTGTATTCTGTATGAAAACATGAAAGAATATTGAATCCACTCAATTATTTATATGAATTGTGTAATAATAATTTGGGATATGATGCTGCTTTAAATAAAACTACAGACAAACCTGATGAATGTAGAAAGTTTATTATAAATATAAAGCACCTTCAATTGATTTCTCACCTATGAAACAACTCTCAGCGCCTTTCTGAAAACAATGTTTCTTGACCTGGTTAGTCCTACAAAGTGCTCTGCTCATGACTTGCATGGCTGATGTAAGGTGATTTATTCTGTTGATTTCCTTGTGGTTTTTCAGAGCCTTGAGGGACCTCATTTCTGTGTGAGGGCCTAGATGTATACTGTAGTACTTTAGCTGCTGCCAGGGCAATCTTATCCAACTGGCTTTAAGGCAGGTGTTGTTTGAAGGGATAGCAAGTGATTAAATGTGATAATACCGTGATTGAGGGAACATGTGCTACTTCTGTTGTGTCATTACATGCCGTCTTAGGGCTACAGTGTAACAATTCTCACCAATCTGCAAGAGAACTGTAAAAGCTTGGCGAAGGCTTGGAAACCCCCTTCTACCTAGTCTCTTCACGGCTAAATATGGCACACACTCGAGTCCAAGTGCTGGATCAAGATATTTAGCTTTCATCACAGTTTCAAAGGCTGGTAGTACATTTTCCTAGTAGCTACAAAGTGCCTGGAGTTGGCCATATGCCCCAAAGTGAACTGCAGAGTGCTGATGCGATACAACATCACACAAGCAGGAAGTAGTCTGCATACTTCCTGCCAAGTTTCAAAAAATTCTTGCATGACCACCAGTACAACATATAATTGATTGCCCAATGCAAACAATTTTCTTCTCAAAGCTGGTTCCCTAAATCCAAATGTCTTTCCTCCTCAGTTAAGCTGGGAGATGACTTTGCACTCTGGGGGGCCTTCTCTTGGGGGGCCTTCTCTTGAGGAGCCTCAGTCACTGCTAACTACTTTTGCTCACTTGCATTGAGTGTTTCACCTGAGTAACTTACTAACAAAAGTATGAGATGTGCCAATCTCTTTGCTGGTGCCTAGGAGGGATGCAGCATATGACAAATCATCCTCAGAAGGACTGTCCTTTTCTGAGGTGTTTTCAGAAGGGTCCTGGATGAATGAGACAAGTGACAAGAGTTAATTTGGATGGTAACATATGACAAATTTCATAATGCAAGCAACCCTCAATGTCAGCAAAACAAAGGAGCTGGTCATCGACTTCTGGACGCATGCCCCTGTCTGTACTAACGGTGCTGAGGTGAAGATGGTTGACACCTTCAAGTTCCCACGAGTAAATATCATCAACAATCCATCCTGGTCCATCCATGTCGATGCCACAGTCAAGAAAGCGTACCAACACCCTACTTCTTCAGAAGGCTAAGGAAATTCAGCGTGTCCACAATGATTCTTACCAATTTTTATAGGACAGCCACAGAAAGCATCTATCCGGGTGCATCATAGCTTAGTATAGCAAGACCAGAAGAAATTACACAGATATGTGAATGCAGCCTGGTCCAACATGAAAACTAGCCTTCTTTAACTGACTTCGTCTACACTTCCCGCTGCATCAGGAAAGCCAACATAATCAAAGACCCCTCCCACCCTGGTTTTATCCTCTTCAACCCTCTTCGATCAGGCAGAAGATACAAAAATTTGAAAACACATACCAATAGATTTAAGAACAGCTTCTTTCCCGCTGTTATCAGATTTATGAACAGACCTCTCATATTTTGGAGTTGATCATTCCCTGCACATTCTCTGTAGCTGTAATACTAAATTCTGTATTCTGTTATATTACACTGGTGTATTTAATGTTAGGTATGATTTGTCTGGTTAGCATGCAGAACAATGCTTTCCACTGTATTTCACTACATGTGACAAAAGTGAATCAAATCAAATCAAAGAATTTGTCAAACTGGATGTATTACTTTTCTGGTACATTAAGAGGTATAAGTAATTGTCTCTTCAGGTAAGCAACCAGCCTCATAATTTCAAATGCACACTGCATATAGTGCATATGCTCAGATGAAAAAGCAACAGAATGCAAGTATGATAGGGTAGAGCATGGAAAGCAAGTGGCTAGAGTGTGAAGTTACAAAGTAGTCAGAGATGTTCAGAGAAGTTTTGCATTTGTTGTCTTGTGAAAACAAATGTTGTTACTGCTACTGTAAGGGCAGCTTGAGAAAGGTAAGGAAGTAATTGAAGTAGCAGACAGGAGAATGCATAAGGACACAATTTATATGGACTTCTGGAAAACATTCAATAAGATTACCCATTAGAAACTGCTCGCCAAAACTCCCAAAACTAAACCTCACAAAATTGAAGATGAAGTATTGATCTGGTTAGCTGATAGCAAAAAAAGTAGAGATGGCGAGTACATACTTCATTTGGAAGGTAATCACTAGTAGTGTTCTAGAGTCTGTGCTTGGGTCTCATTTACTCATATTTTTTTAATAACTGAGACAACACAATAGAAAGCAATCATCCAAGTTTGCAGATGACCCAACTGTGGTAGTATAATAGATTCCATAGAAATTGGAAGACATTCCTTGATTAAGTGAGATGACAAAATTATAACAAATAGATTTCGACGTAGATGAGTATGAGGGTATCCATTCTGGAGAAAAGGAACAGATCCAAGAACTATTAAAAATGAAAAAAAATGGAATAATTGAGGTGCAAAGAGAATTGAGGATGCCTATATACACAAATCACCAAAGTATAGCTGGCAATTTTAAAAAAAGCAAAGGCAATTGCAATGTTAAACTTTACAACTAAAGTCCCAGATGAGAGCAAGTTTTGGTATGATTTGATTTATTTCTTGTTATGTATCTTGTTACAACATACAGTGAAAGGTGCTGTATAATGTCACCACTTTCAAGCACAATTTTAAAACACAAAAAATAACAAAGATGGAATATAAAGACAGAAAAATAAATAAATAAATAAATAAAGTCCTTCTTGTTCAGTGCTCCATCATGGGACATGGGCCTGGTGGCCAGGTACAAGGCCCCATCGCCACACCACCACCACTGGAATGAAAGTCACCACTCTTGGCATCACATCTCCTTCACTAATGTCCTCGTTACTACGAGTCCTCGCTGGACCTCGCCAATGCAGATGCCACCGAAACTCACTGGGTCTCATACTGAACCCAAACTCACTGCCACCATGTGTCTACTTCGGGCTCACACTGCTGACGCAGCTACTGCTGATACCGCCGGGTCTCATACTGGGTCCAAACTCACCTCCACCTCCATGAATCTGTGCTGGAAACAGATGCTGCTGGGAACTCAAACTCACCTCTGCCATGAGTTAGCACGAGGACCGCCTCAGCAGTGCAGAAGCTGCCGGTAAACACAGCGTTGCCTCTGACACTGCTGCCATGAGTCCATGCTGCTGTACCCACTTGCCGATGCTGTCACCATGACCGAGCTCTTCACCAAGAGTTAAGTAAAATAAAATAGAAGAGGAAAATACAAGAGAAGAGAGGAAAAAGAGGAAAAAAAGCGGACAGAGCAGATGAGCCCCAAGCTCAGAAGCCCTACTCCACTGTCATCTTAATGGAATTTTATTGGTGTCTTCTAATGGTACCACCTTAATGTTTACATAAAGCATTGGTTTTATCATATCTGGAATATTGTGAATAGTTCTGCACATCATACCCCTGAAAAGCAAATAAGGGCAGTTAGATTTGGGTCATACTGCTAGCCGTGCCATCAAGACTCACATCCCATGAAAGAGTAAAATGAGCTTGCTTTAAAAGCATGTGGCACACATTCAGAGGAATGTTGCTAGGGTTTGGAAACTTAAATTACAAGGAGAGATTGCATAAACTAGGCTTGTGTTTCACTGAATATGGAAGGTTAAAAATCACATGATTGAGGTTTTTGGAATTTTCAAAGGAATTGATAGAGTGGTGAGAAATGTTACTGCAGGTGGGGGAATATAAAACATTAAAAGTCAGAGCCAGGCAATTCAGTAAAAAAGTCAGGAAACATGTAACAAAAAGGCCACATATATAGTTGCTTGGTAAATGGATACTTTTGAATCTGAGCTTAATATAATACCGTCTATGATGCAGGAGAGGAAATGTCGGAGTGCTGGAAAATTCAAGGACTGTTGCCAGGTGACTTTGAGAGAGATGGAGAAATAAATGTCATACACACCCATGTTGCTCTCATCAGATTACTAAAATGAAATTTATACAAAATCCAGGTTTCAGGACCGATACATGTAAAATTCAACTGTCACCTCTCTTCAGGCAATATTGCTTATAAAAGCCAGTAATCACCTTCTCACTTGTGAGAAAAGAACGTCCTTCCTTGCTCTCTTCATTCACTAAGACCTCCAGAGAATGGTTTCACAACATGGGACAGTCTTGTAAATCATTTCTTATTTCCTTAGTTCATATTTAAATCTGCCAGAGCTTGAATGTAACCTCTTATTAAAAATACATTTATGCTTCAAATAGGTCTCTGGATCCCCAAAGGAAGTGCTAGTCAGAAAGTTATCAGGCTGCTCATTCCTGACTTACTTTGTTAGCAGCCTGCCAATCAAATTAAAATAAAGCACTGTGGTTAAAAAAAGCTCAGCCCTCAAACAGTTGTCTCCAGGTGAGCTCGTTGTTTGTCCCCCCCAATCCAAATCCCACTTCCAAGTTAGTTCTCCAATGAGCATACTGCTGATATTTGCTTTAGTACACATGCAATATGACAGCAAAATAGATTATGGATTTCAAGTCTTCTATTAGGTCTTGTCTCCTATATTTTGTGATTGTACCTTGCCAAAGTACTTACTAGGAACACCAGACACTAGGCGTAATGGTCGTAGTACTCTGAATGCTCTAAGAGCTTTGACATCGAATCCAGCAGCTTTACCTCCGATTGGGTTAATTCCCTCTGCTTTGGTTGCTTGTTCTAAAATAGCACTAAAAAGCCTACAAGAGAAAGAAAGAAAAGCATTGATTATACTTCATCAGAAGCATAGCCACATAAACTGTACAGTCCACTCCGCCAATATAGTCTCCTTTTATACCATCGGCAGTAAGAAAAAAGGTGCAATTTGCTGAAATGCTTTCTCATTGTTTCAAGACATCCCAAAGCATTTACCAATAAAGTATAGTCACTGTTGCAATGTAAGAAAAATGGCAGTCAACTTATCAGCAAAGAAATCCCATAATGAGCAATGATATAATGCTCGGATATTTTGTCTGAATGACATTAGTTGAGGATAGTTTTTGGCCAAAACATTAAGGTGAACTCGCGTGCTGTCCTTCAAAGCAGTGTTTGCATATTTTTTATTCAAATAGGGGCAGTTGAAACTCTGGTTGAAGCCTAACATCTGGCAACTCTAAAAACGCAGCACTTCCTCAGTATTAGAGCATCAGCTGGATTCTGTGATCAAATCTGAGTAATGGGACTTGAATTTTCTGATTCAGAGAGTGAGATGTCACTGTTGAGCCACGGCTGAAATATAAATAAAGCTTATTTTTAAATTTATAATTCACATCGCCAGTGAATAACTATAATTTAATCTTGTTATTGGGGTTTTTAGACAGAGATATTAATGGGACAGCTGAAAAATCAAATATATCCAAAACCACTTTGTACAGTAATGTACGTCTGAAATTCAAAATGGATACGTAGTCATTTCCAGTGACAAATCAAATAACATAAGAAAAATTACAAAAAGTATAATAGTAACTAAGACTTCAGAGAATAGAGATAGTATCAAACAAAATCTGGTCAAGCTGGCAAAAGAATAATGAAAAGGCTAGCAGATAGATATGATGAGCTATTTTGCCTATATTGAGAATCAAAGGAACATTAAATTAAAAGGACTCTTGAGGAATTATTCTGAGTAGATTTTAGCAGAATTCGAAGATAAAGGTACGCTATTACACAAAATGTGACAGATGCACAAAACTAGGCTCAGGGAATCTCAGGTTTCTGGAAACGGAAGCTATAGTTCACTGATTTGACTGAATTTTTTGAGGATAATATATGATTGGTGATTGCAGGAAACCTGGTGTGGAATAGGTGATGATGGTGGGACTGAAAGTTTCTAGCATTTCTTGCCACCTAACACAATCAGCATGTCTGTTTGTTACTATCTTCTTTTCTTAAACAAAAACGTACCAATCACATAAAAAGACTGGTGAAAAATTGTGGTCTCTTTATTTGAAGGTGAAATTACATACAGAAAGTGTGTGCTGCAAATTAAGTATAATACAACCTACAACTTCAGACTGCCCAACAAGTCATGGAATTAAAATGTCACCAACCTCAACAGGATATAATTATTAACAGTAGTTTAAGACAGCCCTCTTAAATATGCATTCATATCATTTCACAGCATCATCCATTTTTCTAACCAAAGATATATACTTAGAGAATGACAAAATAAAATAATATTGTGTCTAGATATATCTTGACATAGGACAATAAATTTACAAGTCTCAAAAACATATTGGCTGTTTACTTATCAGAAGGACACAACAAACAGGAACAGAAGTAGGCCATTTGGTCCATCAAGCCTGTTTTGCCATTTATTCGGATCAGGAATGACCCAGCATTCCTCACTTCCACTTTCCTGTATTTTCCACATAACCCTCGATTCCCTTAATGATCTTAAATATACAAAAGGACTGTGCCCCAAACTTCTCTGTGACAAGGAGTTCCAGACCCACAATCATCATCTCAGTCTTAAATTGGTGCCCCTCTCTAAAGGGAGGCAATGGCCTACTGGTATTATCACTGGACTATTAATCCAGAGACTCAGTGATGTTCTGTGGACAGGTTTCAAATCCTGCCACAGCAGACAGTGGATCGTGAATTCAATACAAGTCTGGAATTAAGAGTCTAATAATGACCATAATTCCATTGTTAATTGTTGGAAAAAAGTCTATCTGGTTCACTATTGCCCTTTAAGGAAGGGAACTGCCATCCTTACCAGGTTTGGCATACATGTGACTCCAGATCTACAGCAATGTGGCTAACTCTTAGCTGCGCTCTGGGCAATTAGAGATGGACAATAACTGCTGGCCAAACCAATGACACCCTCATCCCCCGAATGAATTAAATGAAATTCTGAGACTATACCTTCTGGTCCTAGACGGTTCCATGCGGGGAAACATTCAGCATTTACCTTGTCAAGCCCTTTAAGAATGTTTCAATTAGATCAATTAGTGAGGAATGTTTTCATTCATCTAAATTACAGTGAGTATTGTCCCAATCTGTTTAGCCTTTACTCATAAGATTATTCTTCTATACCAGGGATCAGCCTAATGAACCTTCTCTGAACTGAATCCAATGAAATTATATCTTTCTTTAAATAAGGGGTCCAAAACTGCTCATAGTACTCAAGATGTGGTTTCACCAGCACCTTGCACAGTTGCAGTAAAGATTTCCCTACTCCTATACTCCTACACATTGAAATAAGGATCAATATTCCAACAGCATTCATGATTACCTAGTGCACCTTTATGCTAGCTTTCTGCGTTTCATGTACATGTACCCTTCTGACCCTTTGAATTGCAGCTTCCTGCAGTTTTTCTCCTTTTAAAAAATATTCTGTTCTCTTGCTCTCCCTTTGAAAACGAACAACTTCACAATCTCCTACATTATATTTTATTTGCCAGTTTTTTGCCCATTTACTTAACCTATCAATATTTCTCTGTGAACTGTCTGTATCCTTCTCAGAACCTGCTTTTCCACCTATTTTTCTGTCATCTACAAATCTAGCTACAGTACATTCAGTTCCTTCCTCCAAGTCAATAATATATATTGTAAACAGTTGCAGTTCCAGCACAGATCCCTGTGGAAGTCCACTGGCCATCAGTCACCAAACTGAAAAAGAACCCCTAATCCCCACTTGTTGTTTCCTGCCATTAGCCAGTTCTTTATCCTTGCCAATATATTACCTCCGACACTGTGGTTTCTTACCTTATGACTTAATCTTTTGTGAAGTACTTTGTCAAACACCTTCTGAAAAGTCCAAATACAACGCACCTACTGGTTGCCCTCTGTCCACTCTGGTTGAGCTTTCCTCCAGAAACTATAATAAATTACTCAGCTTTGATTTCCTTTTCATGAAGCCATCGAAATGCTATGCAGGAGTTTATATTTCAGGTACCTACCATACAGGCTCACTGGTGGAAAAAGTCAGGAATTATAGATGATGATATGTCTAACCATATTGTTCCTGACCTGGATTTTCATCTCCCACTTCATCAGGTCTGCTTAAACCAGACCTTACTTAGTCCACTCCATGTAAACGGTAGCAAGACCTTGTGATTGCACTTAACTTCTTTTTACATAGCATGGTTTTCCAGGCCTGCTATGTTGAAGATGACTGTTAGCTACAGCAATGGCATAAAGACTCTTGTAGCTTAGTCTCCTCCTTTCAGTCCAGCAGAGATTTAATGTTCATGGGCCTTCACATTTTTACATTTGTTTTAAACCAAAAAGCATGCAAGTTATTCTTGACATTCCTACTGATCTTGCAGTTAGTAATTCCCTCCAGACTTAGTCATGGTGATTTTTGCTGGAGGCTGCTGTACATTTTCAGAATTCTGGTTAGATGTGCTTTGCTTGTGTTGCAGCTTAGACCATGTTCTAGTTGCAGTGGGATTATTTAGTTGTGTTGCGGTTCTTTGCTCTTACAGCAAACCTGGTGGAGTGGGAGATGAAAATCCTCGTTGGGGGGAGATATGGTTAGACATATCATCAACTGCAATTCCTGACTTTTTCTACCAGTAAGCCCATATAGTAAGTATCTATATTATTCAGATGTGACATCAACAGTTCTCAATTAACAGGTCGAGAACCTGTATATCTTTCTTTACTGAAAGGGATCAAAACCGACCAAAACAATATCCTACCGTGTGGTTTGAATTGGGCCTTGTATAATTTTAGCAAGACTTCCCTATTTTTCTATTCCATTCTCTTTGAAAGAAAGGCTAACATTCTATTTGCCTTCTCTATAGCCTGCTGAACTTTTATGCCAGCTTTTTGTCCTTCATGTATCTGGATCCCCAAAATCTTCTGCTCATTTTCTCCAGGCATTTTCCCACATTATATTCCAGCTGCACAAGCTTTTGCCCACTCACTTAACCTGCTGATATCTTTCTGTAGACTCTCTGGGGAGATATTTATTGGACCCTGAATGACATGGGTAGGAATTGTGGCAAAATCATGTGTGAAATCTTGCAAGGCCTGTGGTGATGTTGGGAGAAATTTGCATTTTTATGTATCTGCCGAGCCTTGAGGACAGTTTCTAGCTGGGCAATAGACAGTTGCCAATTAAGGGAGATTACTGCTTGTTAAACACCATATTGACAGCACAACTAGCCTCATTTATATGCTGCTGCCTAGCTTACCAAATGTGCCAAGAAAACTAGACGCTGAGAATTCTTCACATAGAGGTCAGAGCGAGCACCTGGAAAACTTAGACTCACTGCTGGCTGTGAAGAGTTTCCATGTTGCTCAGCACAAAACAGCATCTGAGGACATTATCCAAGACCACCAGCCAGGTGCACCCTTCATTGACAGATATTTGCATTCAAGATTTTCCAATCCCTCATGATATCTCTCCAACGCATTTGCAGGAAGTACAGATCTGTATGGCTGGGGCATGATAATTCACATTCAAAGGCTGCTGCATGGATGGTCTGCATGCATAGACGGCTCACAGATTGGACCTGGCTGCATCTCAGGGCTGCTCACTTGCTGCCTTAGCATTTGTTCACTTAATAACTATTTGCAGGCTCACAGCATCCATGCCTTATCTTAGATGTCTGTATGTCTATTGGTGCTTCAGCCAGAGCCTAAAGGCTATCAGTACTGCCATTCTGATGTGCTCTTTTGCGGAGGCAGGCTGCTTGTCATGTTTATCAGTAGGGATTTGTCTGGGTTGGAGTGACATTTTGCTGTACAT